AATTTCTAAAGTCCATTTGAGTACAATGACTATAGGCCAAATTGTAGGAGTTTTAGCCTCATTTATAGTTAGACAATCAATCTGTAAAATAAATGTTAGAAAAAAAAAAATCAGACAAGTTTCACCTGGTGTAGAATTCTTGAGGCTAAGAAATTAAAGACTGAGGAACAGAAACCAAAAGCTAGGAAGTACTGAAAATTCTAAGTACTTATACTTTTAAACAGTTATTTTCAAATGATTAATAATGAACAGTCCTTTTAAATACTGCAAATTCCTAATTCCTCAGTTACTTATTGACCCAAAGAAGCAGTCTATGATGGTTCTGCAGCCGATTTTTCTTTCTATATACCAAAACTTACTATAACAAATATTACAGTGACATTTCTTAGAAGACCTAGCCAACAGGCCATATATTTAAACAATGTTTTAAAACTTCAGAGTAAGATTTTATAAAATATAAAATTTTAAAATTTAAGTATAAGACTTTCAATAAATAATTAGAATCTCTGCAATAAGGTTTTTCCTACAACTATTTTATTTATACTACTATAAAAATCAAACATCATGAAAAATGGAGGAAAAAAAACTGAAGCTGTCAACAATTTCATTCTACTTGGATCAACAATCAATATCCATGGAAGCAGCAGTCAAGAAATCAAATGCCATATTTCATTAGGAAAATCTGCTACAAAAGACCTCTCTGAAGTTTTCAAAAGCAAACCGTGTACTGACTAAGGTGTACCTGACCCAAGGCATGATTTTTTTAGTCACCTCATATGCATGCAAAAGCTGGACAATGAAAAAGACAGCAGAACTGATGCATTCAAATTGTGGTATTGGTGAAGAATATTGAATATATCGTGGACTGCCAGAAGAATGAATAAATCAATCTTAGAATAAATACAAATAGAAATGCTACTTAAAAGTAAGGATGGTGAGACTTCGTCTCCCTACTCTGGACGTGTCATAGGGAAAGTTGAGCGAAAATGAGGAAAATACTCAATGACAAGGACTGACACAATAGCCACAACAACAGACTCAAACATAACAACGACCGTGAAGGTGGTACAAGACTGGGCAACGTTTTGTTCTGTTACACATAAGGTCACCATGGGTTGGAGCTGACTCGATAGCAACTAACAACAACTATAAAAATAGAAGTTCAAGAAATACAGATATCTCATGCAGCAAATGCTTTGCATTTATTAAAAGGCACATATAAATTATTTTAACTAAAGAAGCTAGAGTAGAGAATTTTCATTATTCAAATAATGCTTCAATCATTATTTACATGGGAATGAAATAAACCACATGGATGGATTCAAACAATAAAATTATTTATCATAAAAATAATAACAAAACATCTTTACAGTTCCTGAAAATTAACTAAGTTCTTTCTCCTTCACTTGTCATCATTTTACCTTTTCATAATTGGATAAAGGAAAATTAAAATGTTATTAGTCATCTACTGATATTTCAGATGGCTCTTGTCTCAGTTACCTAGTGCTGCTGTAACAAAAAATACAAGTGAGTGGCTTCAAAGAACAGGATTTTATTTTCTCACAGTTCAGGAGACTAGAGGTCTGAATTGAGGGCACGGCTCTAGGAGGAGGCCCTTCCTTGTCAGTAGGACCAGGAATTCCTTGGCATTCCTTGGCATCTGTCTTCTCCCCGTGTGTGTCTCTGCGTGTATTCTGGCCTTTTTATAACTCAGAAGTGATTAGGTTCGAAACTACCCTACACTGGTATGACCTCAATAACCTAACAACATAATAAAAGAAACCCCTTTATTTTCAAACAGGGTTACATTTATAGTTCCAGGGGTTAAGTTTTCAACACGTATTTTAGGGGGGTGTGATTCAATCCATAACTGCTCTTAATATACATCAAAATAGCTTGAAAACTTCCAATTTAGAAATGATGCAAATATGATCATTATGACTATACTCAGGAAGTCTAGTGACTGCAAATAATTCAAAAAATATCTGAAATATGAAGGTGAAAATTAAAGTACAAACCTGCATCTCTCCTTTCTCATCAGGTTTAGCTGGTTTTGCAGCCTCAGTAGCTGAATTCTTCAAGCTCTCTTTGCTACAGCGCAGAAGTACTTCTACTACATATAAAGGATCCAGTTCACCAGAATTAGGCTAGGAAAAAACACAAATTAAAAGGAGTTATTAATTTTTAAAAATTAGCCCCACAAATTTTAAGTTCCATGTATACAGGGACTATATTCTCAGCATTTAGCATTATGCCTGGAAACACAGTATGCAGTAAATGTTTATTTCATAAAATGAAGGCTGTCATGCATCCTTCAACATGCTCCACTGGATAAGAAAACACAGAATTCTAACAGTATGACCATTAAGAAACCATTGTCAATTGTGACATAAAATATCACTTTTGTTCCTAATGATTAGATCATAATTTTGTTTACTATTATACCATAATATGAAAAGGAAACTAAAAGAAATGATCAGTATCAGAAAACGAGTCTCTTATCTTCAAATTACTGCAATTAAACAAGAAAAATACACTGAGAGTAGATTATATTATTACTCATATTCTGGCACTTCTATAATGTGGTTCTATTATCAATTCATTAAAAGACTTTTTAGACTTTCATGTTGTCTAATAAAACCATGATTGTCAAGATCTAAGGACTAAACGATCACGCCTTTTGCACACTATGGTAATTTATGTATGAGAGCAATGTCTTTCAAACAGTAATAGAAGACCAATATTACTGAAATATACTTAAATATTACCACGAAAACACATTTGAAAGCCTTCCTTATTGTAGCATTATATGAAATTTTGCTGTTGAAACTATTAATATTATAAAATTTTTCTCAGTTCTTCCAGTTCTGTACTGTAGAGTCTGGTCAACAAAGTGATCTTTCACATACGAGAAAATAGTTATCAAGTGTTCTATTTGGCCTCCCACTCTAAACTCTTTTAATTTTTCCTCACAGGCTCTAATTTTTAAGTTCTTAATCACATAATTTTTACACTTTCTCTTCCTAACTTCTCTTTATTCTTTTTAAAATGTGGCTAATTTCAGCTATAAATTGAAATCACCAAATTAACACACATTTTTGTATTCCCAAGAATGTAAAGAAACAAACAGTATGAAATAAATATTTACAGTTAAAGTTAAATTTTTTTCTTTTAAATGCCTCAAAGTATTTTCCTCTTCTGTCTGTATCCTCCCTCTGCCTTTGGCAAACTCTACTGGCCACCAAAATCTTTGGATTAGTATTCTGAGTTAGATTCCAAAATCAATAAAAATGTACTACCCATTTTTCGTGAAAAGGCAAGTATAAGCAGCTCTTTGGGAAAAACGAGTTACGCCATTAATTTAAACAGAAAAAATGAATATGCTCCTTTCTAGTCCCCATCCCGTCAAAAGAACTCTTATCAACTAGCACTACTTTTATACACTGATTACAGATCAATATAGGCAAATAATTTTGAAAACTATCCAAAAATATGTGTGTGTGTGTGTCATCTATATATCTCTTATGTTAGCTATAATCTTCCTTTCCTAAAAATGTGAAAACTGAGATTGACTTTGAACATGACAGCATGAGGAGCCCTGTGGACCTGCTCTCCAGTGAAACTGGAGAAAATTCTAAACAACAAAAGCAAAACAAAAAAACTTAGTTATCTGAAAACGGTCTTAAGTGCATACAGCAAATAAAGGAAGAGCTAGTGAATAAAATCTATTAAAATTCGATAAGAATGGTGAGAGTCTATGGTATTTGAACGAAGACCACGTCCTCCCTTCCTACTCTCATCTCAGCAATATAAAAACTCTACTCCAGACTGGTAAAGCCAAAAACACAGGGCTCCTTCTCTCCACAGCTCCCAGTTGGAGGGCTATGTTCCCAGGAGGAATAAGTCATCAGCATTTCTCATTCCTCTCTCCACTACCTGTTGCTGAGGCTAAGTTCTGGGCAAGTGAGGAAGACAGATGGGGAATTCCTTCTTCTACTCAGACTCTGTCTTGAGCACAGTGCTGCTGACATTACTGGGGTCCAATCCCTGTCTGCTCATAAGGCTGTGGTTTCACCCTGGGAGAGGCAAAGCAAGAAGACTTGAGGCTACTGAAGCTACCCTCCACCTAGCACTCAGTTCTAAAAGCAGCAGTGCCACTTGCAGAAAAGTCAGATCTTTCTTCCTAATCTGTCTTAATCTGCAAGCTCTGCCGAAACCTGTTCAGCATGAGAGCAACATACAAGCCCCCACTGACAGACAGGTAGCAGCTGCACAGGAGGTACACTGGTCAGGAATCAAGCCTGGGTCTCCCGCATGGAAGATGAAAAATCCACCGCTGGACTACATGATGCATGTTTTATGTCAAGAAAACTCCTTTATAGGATATTCTAAAGGCTTTCCAAATTTTTACTGCAATATGAATTTTGTTAAAAGGGATACACTGCCAGAAAT